TTGGAAGCAAATATTTCGAACATATACAGGATGACATTAAAACAATGCCTTTAGGAGATAGCTGTCTGTGAGATATTAAAAAGGGGACATTTAACCAAGACAGAGAAAAGGGAAGAAAGTACTGAAAGAAGTGAGGAAGAGTTGACCCTTAGCAATTACCCCAGATAGATCTGTAACCAGGTTCTTCTCATTGCTCTTTAACAATATAAAACAGTTTTGCATCTAAAGCACAATATGCTGTTCCACCTCAAGATTCCTCTCACTGCCAGACTATTTACCTAAACTATAATCTATTCCTCTTCCCAAGTGGCATTTCTCTAGAACTCAGAATTGAGAAACTTGAACCAAAGAAGCCCTTCTCCACACATTGGATTTGAACATTTTTCGAATTTATTCCTCAGTGCTTTGACTTCATAAAGGCTTTGAAGTTTATTATGAAGTCTTTGACTGTTTAGTTAATTAATACATGTTACTTCCAGTAGCTGAGAGGATGCTTAACCATAGAGATTACTATGTTTACCATGAAAATAAATTATCAAAATGCATAGACACAGTACAACCTTAATAAACTAAAATATATTTGAAAGTTTTTGAGTAAAAGAAAAAATAAAAATCTGGCAAAATTAGATCAGCAAAGTGTTCCACTGGAATGCAGTATCCTATATAATTTAAAGAGGTTAGGGAATTATAACATTTTCCTATGGCCAGACTTTAAGATCAATACTTATTTCATTAAACTAAAATGTTTGAGAAATTTTTCTTTTTTTATATGCAATTGCTTGCCAATTTAAGAAAACAATAATCACACATGTGTGGGAGAGAGGAGCTTATAATAAATATTTAAAGCTGCATTTTATTTTTCACTTTTTGTAAGGCCTCTTTTACATCCTTGTTCCGTAGGCTATAAATCAGAGGGTTCAGCATGGGAATCACAAGGGTGTAGAACAATGAGCTCATTTTATCTTGATCTAGAGAGTAGGAAGAACTTGGCCTGAAATACATGAAGAGCACAGTTCCCTGGAAAATTGCGACTGCAGTTAAGTGGGAGGCACAAGTAGAGAAAGCTTTGAGCCTCCCCTCAGCAGAGCGGATCTTTAAGACTGATGAGATGATGTAGCCATAAGAGACCAGGACTCCACAAATGGTACTCAGTTCAATGAAACCAAAAATGGTGAATATTGCTAACTCATTGGCCTGTGTGTCAGAGCAAGACAGTAATAGGATAGGAGGGATGTCACAGAAGAAATGATTAATCTCATTAGAACCACAGAAACATAAGCGAAAGGTCAGTGTTGTATGTATCAAAGCATCTGCTGTCCCCACCAGGTAAACCCCAGCTATTAGCACAGAACAAATCCTGCTGGACATGTCTACTGTGTAGTGCAAGGGGTTGCTGATGGCTTTGTATCTGTCCAAGGCCATCACTGCCAGGAGGATGCACTC